GGGGTAAAAAATTATTAATAAAATAAGTTCAGGGGGTAATAAGACCTTAGTATAGTATAAGTGTGTCTCTGAGATTTCGAGCATAGGTTGAGGGGGTACTTGAGCATTATTCCAACTATAAATAATATTGAAACACATTTTGTGTCCGTTTTCAAATTTTATTTCTATACTAATATATAGTTAAATAAGAATCATACATAGTTCATACGAAAAACATATATATGAAACAACTTTTTAAGCATATAATTGTTCAATAAAACTCTTGTTAGAATAGTTCATACATAGATCATAGATAGTTCGCACAAGTTCATACACATGGATCAAAAAATATATGATACTTGTCATATTAAAACGATAATAAATCAAAAATGTAATATTATGCTCATACTAGTAGTAATCAGACTTCATACATATTTCATCCAGACAGTAATCAGACTTCATACATAATCAATAATTGAAGAAAGATTCATACAAAAAAGCCAACAAAATAGAAATATAAGTCATGCCCATACAATTAGTAATCAGACTTCATACATACAATTTATATATCAATTAAAATATAATCCAAACACTGTCATATAAATAGACAACCAAATCAATTCATACACAAAGCATGAAATGAAATTCTAAGGTATTTTCATACACAAATCATACAACAGTAATACATCAATGTATATATCAATTCATACAACATTTATACACAAGTCATACAAACTAATACATCAATCCACACAGAATTCATATGATATTAATACACATTACCAGTGTTTGAATGATGTTGGAATTGATATATAAATTGATGTGTGTATGAAATCTGATTACTAATTGTATGGGCATGACATTACATTTCTAATTTGTTGGGTTTTTTGTATGAAGTCTGTTACTAATTGTATAGGCATGACATTACATTTTTAATTTGTTGACTTTTTTCTATGAAGTCTGATTACTAATTGTATGGGCATGACATTACATTTCTAATTTGTTGGCTTTTTTGTATAAATCTTTCTTCCATTATTGATTAGGTATGAAGTCTAATTACTGTTTGGATGAAATATGTATGAAGTCTTATTACTACTAGTATGAACATGATATCACATTTTTGATTTATTAACGTTTTAGTATGACAACTATCATATATTTTTTGATCCATATGTATGAACTTTGTACGAACTATGTATGATCTATGTATGAACTATTTTAATAAGAGTTTTACTGTACAATTATATGTTAAAAAGTTGTTCCATATATATGTTTTTTGTATGAATTATGTACAATTCTTGTTTAACTATATATTAGTATACGAATAAAATTTGAAAACAGACAAAAAATATGTTTCAGTATTATTTATATGGATAATATTAAGAAATCACAACTACTAAAATATTAATTATACCAAATTCATTCATAAAACAAAACATGTTATGTAACAAAAAGTAAAAATCATGAAATCATTTTTTAACAGGATAATTTGAACATGTCTTCCTGTTATGTCCAACTTGAAGCCATCTACTACAAGTAACCTTTGACCTTTTGAATTTCACATCAGCAAACTCCTTCCAACGTTCAACATGCAATTTTCTAACTGATATACTTGGATCGGGTGCCATCAATTTAGGCTTTGAAATATAATTGGGTATATCTCACATACTCTCGTAGGGGATAGGTTCAACAGGGATGACATATGCACCTCTGAAATTCTTCAGGCTATAAAAGACAGAATAGAAATATGTTTCATGCAGTTTCTTGTATCTAAGAATTGCAATTACATGATCACATGATATTTCATAATGGTGAAATCTCCCGCAACTACACACCTTGTATTTAAATTTACTATGTACTTCTTTGGTCCTTCAACAAGAACATACGTATCAACCGTCGATGGTATTACCTAACATGGAAAATTAATGCTCATTAAAAACAATTTCAAAAAAAATATGTCATTAAAAAATAAAATAAAAATATTTAATATCAAAATAGTACACATTTCATACTATAAATGTCAAAAATAATACAAACATTGATTTACAAATCAGAAACAGACAAAGAAACTAGCATTTCATATTTCGACCAATATACTATTTTTTCACCAATAATTCCATTAATATTACACATATTCACAAATAACAAAAAAAATTACTAAACAAAAAACAAATATAGCTTTCATCATCACAAAAAAAATTTATTAAACAAAAAGAAACTAAACAAAAAAAATATAGTTTTCATACAGAATTTTATCAACATTTACCTTCATATGCCAAACAGAAACATATATTCTAATTTCAACAAAAAGAGAAACTTCATACATAATTAATACAAGTTTCATATAAGGTTCATACACGATTAATACAACTTTCATACTTCAACGATCCACATAATTATAAATACTTATTTTTTGACTAGTAACTAAATACACTGTACCATCAAATTCATTTTTTATATTTTGTTCATAAATCAAGTATTACGCGAATCATCAATTTTATTAAAACTCAAACACATATACATTTACAGCTGTTTTTCAGATACGGTATATATACCAAAACATTGTTTCATCCCAAAAAAATAAGCTATAATCTATATCAGATCTTAAAATAATCAAAAAAAAATCGGCACAATGTTCTCCATGTTAAAACCCAACAAATCATAATCAAAATCAACAAATCATAATTAAAACCAACCTGATGAATTCCACATTCCACCATTTTAATTAATATCGACACAATGTTCTCCATCATAGCAAATCAATTTTTTTCCAACGTCAAAATTTCTTCAATTACTAAAAATAAATGAACTGATATCTGCTACAAATCTGAAAGAATAGTGAAAATTGGAGGGAAAAAACAGTTTGTACGTTGATGTCAATTTGTTAGAGCTTTTTAAGGAATTAAATCAAAATTTATTCTCATTTAAACTAATTTGAGAGATTTAAGGCAATTAACTAATCTGAATATTTTTTAAATTTCCTTAAAACGTGTTAATCAATTAACACCAATTAATAATTGTATTTAATTTAGTAATAAAGGATGTCATTTTCCATTTATATTTTTGTCAGTTTTTTTTATTCAATTTTTTTTAAACAATTTTTTTTAATTATTTCAAATTAACATTAAGTTTATAATAATATGCTATAGCTTGAGATATTAAATGTTATATATTGAAATACAAACTCTAATGCTATATCTTGAGAATATTACTATAGAAAATGCTATATACCTAATTTACACTTTTTTGAAATATGTTAACGATTTTTGGAATTTTCTCCTAAGACATGTATCACAATTGTACAATCCATCCAACTTAAATATTTCTTTATATTACGAAATGTCTTTGTGTGTGTGTGTGTGTATATATATTCTTATTTTTTTTACTTATTTTCCCTTTAATGTTGATTAAAGAACCAATGATTTCTTATTTCGTATATAATTCATTCATTAGAGATTCTTGAGTTATGTGATCATGACAAATAATAAAATTCATCTTGGAGTATGCAAACACTTTTGTTCAAGTCCTTGATCAAGAAGTTAAACATCTTGAATTTCTTAATTCTATCTAGTTATTGTCTCAGAGTGTGACAAACCAGAACAACCAGTAGGTACAAGTTTTGATAAATGCTAATGTTGGGTCAACTATAGCTAGAGTTTGGAATTTTTGTAGGATGAATCCTCTTGATGAGTTCCTAGTATCGTATTATTTAAGAACTTATTTTCTCATTATTTTTAATGTATAGATATTAGTAAAAAAAAATTAATTACAAATTCAATGCAATTTTTGCGCGGATAAATTACCTAGTATATATATATCAGTGAAAAGTGATCCCCTAAAGCCTTGTCGATCCCCTAAAGCCTTATCAGAGTAAGTGTGACGCCTTGCACTTTTCCAACTATGATAGCAACTGTTGTGGTGACATTGACACTAATTAACTAACGTTATGTGAAATTTCTGTAATGTTTTTCACTAGAAACCAGTGCCTTCATGCATGATTGATTTATTTGTAACTTTGTACGTATATACTCGTTCACTTTTACTTTTATCACATTTGAATTTGATAGGACTCACTAAGAAAACAATAATTGACACGATTGATTGTTGTTTAGTACTAATTAAGTCTTAATATGTTACAAGTGACAAGTAAAAGTGAATCTAAATTCTTGTATTGAAGTTGATCAAAAAGGTATAAAAGAAAGAGATCAAGTTAGAGTAATAATAGGTAGAAGAAAAGTATCATATTCAAGTAAGGTACACTTGACATAAGAGTAAGGTACATCCTTCAACATTGTTCACAAAATTTCAGTTCTTTCTTTTTCATCTCCGATTACTCGATACATATAATTTCTACATGCAAAATTCAATACTTGCTAGGCATAAATGATGTCTATAAATCATATCAAGGCTGCCTGGATTGCCTATAATGTGCAATCTTTTTGCATCCTAAGCCTCTTCATCCAAGCTCTATTGCTTCTTTTAGCACCATTCAGGAAGAGAACAGGCAGTAAAATCCTGATGGTGTTTGTTTGGTCAGCATACATGGCTTCTGATTGGGCCCCTGCTTTCATTCTCAATCTCATTGTAAATTACAGCAAAACAAGACATGACAAGGCAGAACTTATGTCACTTTGGGCTTCTTGTATGTTGCTGCACTTGGGAGGTTCTGATCACGCCATAGCATTTTCCCTCGAGGACAATGACCTCTGGTTTAGGTATGCCTTCACGTTTGTTTTCATGTTCCTGTCCTCTGGCTACGTCTTCTACTTATCCTTCTCCCAAGTAAACTATCTTTGGATCCCAAATGTCCTAGTGTTCCTCGCTGGGATCATCAAATGTTACGAGAGGGCACGTGCTAGGTTCATAGGGAGTATGGATAAGTCCATAACGTTGAGTCATCGTAAGTATGAAGATGTTGTGAAGAAGAAGTCTTCAGAAGAACCTCACAATTTCCGAGCAAGAGAGCTGGATGATGTGGAGGTTATACAACTTGCGTATACAATATTCAGGGCCTATAAAGGTGTTCTGGTGGAGCACAAGTTCACTTTTGAGGAGTACAGTAGAATTCAAAAACTCCTGCAAAACAGAACGGATCTGTTTGCTTTTAGAATCGCACAGGCTGAACTCGAGATTCTACATGATCTTCTATACACAAAGGCACAAATTTTTCATGAAAGTTTTGGGAACTCAGCTCGATCTGTCTATTGGGTTCTACTTACTGCAGCATTGGCTTCTTTCTCTTTGTTGGTGAGGAACAACAACCAAAAGCAATTTGATCCGTTCGATGTGGGACTAACCTACAGCTTACTCATTGGAGGTATGTTTTTGGATGCCGTTGCTTTTGTTGTATTGCTTTATTCCTCAACCTTCACAATTGCCACAATGTCAAGGGCAAAGACGAGGCCAATCACTTGGGTCGTCAAATTCCTCAAAGCTTTGAAGTGGCCACGGCCACGGGCTCTATGGTGTTGGAGACCATCTCTCCAACAATTCAACCTCATAAACTATGGTTTAAATCGACCTCCAAAAGCATGGGAATGCATAATTGATTACCTACACCTTACAAATTATCTTGATGAGATGATATATGTGAAAAACAAGAGTCTTTCTCCTTTATTGGAAGCTGAAATTCTAAGACAAATAGAAATATGTATAAATAGGCACGACTGGGATTGTAACTCGTATGCTTCTAAATTCACTAAATGCACCAGCAAGTTCTCTATGTCGAAGGAGCTTAACAAGAACGAGTTCCTCATAGTATGGCACATTGTGACAGAGATTTTCTTTAATGTTGATGTACCTGAGGCAAATATTGGATCCGATTCAAGAGAGTTGAAAAACCTTAGAGAATGTTCAAAGTCTCTATCAGACTACATGGTTTACATTCTTATTTTTCGACCTTTCTTCATGCCTGTTCCTAACAAGAAAAAGATAGAAGAGACCAACAACAAGATAAAAATATTGCTTCATGAAAAGAAACATTTAAGCCAAAAAGAAGCTTGCAAAGAGATCATGAAAAAAGCTGCTGAGGGGAGCATTCTTCAGGAATCGTTCTTGTATGAAGCTTTTAATGTTGTCAACTGTTTGCAAACTGAACCTCATTGGTGTCAAGACAGAGTTAAATGTTGGAAGATTATTCACAAAACTTGGATCGCGATATTATTTGATGCTGCCAAATGCTCTGCACCACGTGCTCATGCACAATATCTTGTGAAAGGTGGTGAAGTTTTATCCTTAATCTGGTTGTTGGGTGCTAACTGTGGATCCATGGCTCACTTTGCATTTTTTGAAGATTCTGATGAGGAAAACCAAGATAGAAATAATGGCTAGGCTCGAATCGATGTATGACTAAAGTTTAGGAATGTAACATATCATGTGAAGAAGAGCATCATACCAGTTGGCATCTTTTGTAGTGTTAAAACTTATGAATAAAATTGAGCTATGGATATGTTCATCGAGTACTTTTACATATTATTGATACCATGAACCATGTAATTTTACATGGACGATGTACTCAATTCTTGTGAATTATGGGGGATTTTTGTGTCATATAGACAATGTATATACTTGTGTAAAAAGCTTACCTGCACCTAGTGTTTATTACACACCAAACCATACTAATTTACACGGTCAAGTCATATATTAAGGTGGTAAAATGTATGATCAGTTAAGTTTTTACTGTATTCCTACCCTACTAGAAACATAATTGAATGAAATTATCTAATAGTAACAATCTCCACTTCTTTTTTCCATCTAAGCATCTCTATTTTTTGTTCTTTTACACGCTACTTCAAGTAGAGGTTTATGTTTCTCGATAACATGTTATTAGCACGAGTCTCTACTCAACTTCAAATAGAGATTTATATCTTTTTGGTGACTTTTGTATTATAGAAGATGTTAGCAGTAGGATCTTCCACACCACAGATGGGAGGTTCTTAAGCCAAAAACATCCCTAAGAATATATGCTTTCTTTTAAAAATTCTAACTTGGTTACCACTCAGAGCATCAGCATATATCTGGTTTTAACATAGATTACTTGACTTGGATAATTTTTTAGCAAAAAATATTATCATTTGTAAGCTTATCAAGGCAATTGATTTCTACATGAGTTGTGGAATACTTCGCAAAAGAGCAAAACCAAAGAACAACAGCAGTAGCAGCAACAATATTAGACGTCTTCCGCGTAAATTGGAAGAAATCTTACAATATGAAGAGCCTGATGTGGAAGTACTTTTGGATGAACAAATCAGGGTATATGAATATCCCCAATTACAAAACTATCCATGTTTTATAGTCTATATATATATATATGGGCGTGTTCGTCTATATTAATCAATGTATTATATATGCTACAGTACTGGATTGATACAAAGACAAAGGCAAAGTGCTTCTTCTTGTATGCCAAAAATCTACATGTCCTATGGTCAGAAGAAAGCAGCAAGTGGAGTCTGCCCCAATATAAAGAGCATCCAAGGTAATTTAATCTACATTATGAGATATATCTCTTACCTTTTAGTAGACTTTCATCAATTTCCAATGTCTTTTTGAGAGCAGTTGAAGGCTCTCTCTGACAAGGGGTTTATTAGGCCAAGCGTCTCACCATGAGGCTCACCTGTCTTGTATGTCAGAAAGAAGGATAGGTCGCTAAGGATGTGTATGAAGAAAAAAAATATATTGGTGACATGTTTAGGAAGTATTAATCAATCCTCCGCATTTCCACTTAAGGGGCATTTCTACACTAAGATATAGAATGATAGATGTTATGAAAATAGGGACAACAACCTGCAGGAAGTCAAGCTTAAATGCCTTTTGTTATTCTGTTTTTGGTGTACTAATGTCTACTCCAATGAGACTGAGTCAATCATAGATGGTTTAGGATCCATCTAGTTCCTCGTTTCGCATTGGAAAGACTTTAATCTTTTTCTTCTTTTTGTAAATATGGTTTTTCAGAACTACCTAAGTACTGACTGAAATACAAATGTTACTAGTGTCAAAAAAGATATAGAATGTTAAAACCGCACATAGACACAAAAATGCATTTATTTTCAATTGATTATGTGTGCAGTGATCAACCTGTTCAAGTTTACGAGATGGAAACAGTTCTATCACTAGCTGTTGGTGGAAGTTTTGATGCAGGAAAGCTTTCGAGGGGAGTAGAGTACAAAGTTTCACTTGTGGTGTTATTGAAGAAATTTCTCTCAGGATGGGAATTTCCACTGCAAACTATACTTGTTAAGCCTGATGGTACCGAAGAACATCAAAGTACTGAAGATCTTATGGAAAAGCCAAAAAGAAAATGGATAAAAATTCAACTAGGGACTTTCATGATTCCACAAGAGATGGAAAGTATCACAAATTTGGAATTCTATGTGCATGAAAGGAAAGGTAGAAAACTTAAGATGGGACTGGTTATTAAAGGTGTTGAAGTTTCTGTCTAAATTCTTCTACAAAATATTATGAGTAAACAAAATAAAATTTAACAATAATAGAGATGTCATATTTCTCAAACACAAGCATTTCAATAACATTAGTGTGTTTGCTGCCAAAAGGGCGAAAAAGTTCTATGCACTGAGTACTTACCATGTAAAAATAGTTACACAATCAGGTCACATTTATAAGGTAATAGTTTTGACTGACGATCTAGAAAAAAAAATGTTAAGTTACACAGATGATTGTAAACTATCATTTCAATAAGTATGGTCATATGGTGTCGTTGACAGATGCCAAACAATGCAAAAACCCATAGTGAACCCCATTCCCCCCCCCCCCACTACTTAAATGATTTCACTTGGGTTCTTGCCAAGTATTAATCCACGATGCTCTTGTAACTGATTGAATTTCCATATCGTTAATCAAGGATTCAAATCAGAGTGTCAATTTACACGAAGAAGAAGAAAAGATAAGCTACTTTACAAAGCAATTCATCGACAATTGAAGGAATTAATTCTTTAGTAGAAGAATAACTTGTAGGAAGGGTGAATTCGTCAAAAAAAAAAGAGAATCAGATGCTTTAAGATAAGATTTTGAGTCACTTATTTAAAAGAAAAAAACAGCATAGCATCAAACTTTATGGCAAAATATCAAGTAGTCATAAAGCTTGTTTTTCTCCATATCTAGATAATATAATATTAGACTTGCAGAAAATTGTTCAATAATCTCTTAAGATGGGTGCAAAGCAATCAATTAAGAATCCAAAAGATAGAGAGCGAACGTCTGTGAGGACAGAAGAACCAAGTGAGCTAAGACCAGAAATAAGTAAAACTGATGTCAATTATAATGAAGAAACAACAATTATAAGAGTCCAGCCTCCATGTATAAGACCTAAGCTTCCATATTATCTGAATAAGATCTTGAAAGAATCAGAATCTCCGTTGGAGATTGATAGATTGTCCATGGAGCGACTATATAATGGAGTCTACCTCAAACAGAATAAGAAGGTAGAGCAACTTAAGTTTCCCTTTCTTCTTTTTCTCTCCAAACTTCTTTTTATCTTATCTTATACAGAAGTATGTATGATCCTATTTCAAAATAGCTATGCAGTTGTAATTATATACAACATTTTTATGATAGTCTTCTAATAATTCTTCATTTATTTGAAGTTCACAGTGTTATGCAATCTTTCAAATAATATTAGTGATATGATATGCAGAAGTACTGGATTGACAGAACGAATAACGCAAACTGCTTTATGCTATATGCAAAAGATCTCTCAATCACATGGGTAGAAGACAATCGTTACTGGAATTGGGTAGAAATAAAAGAGACAAGGTAACAAAGTCAAGATATACTGTCTGATTCAATTTATGTGATTCTATTTCCTTTTCGGCCTGCAAAAAAGAATGAAAATTTTGGTAACAGTTGAACTTAAACTTCATATTTTACCCATGAGATGAACTTTTATATTCACACAACTGTTGGGACGTGTTTGAAACTACAAGTTTCAAAAGTCCTGCAGCCACACATACATTATTACATGATAATCTGCGAGGACCTAGCTAATGCTTTTGAATTTACCACTTTTTGCAGCGATGAAAAAATTTTAGCAGCAGAACTAAAAAGTGTGCGTTGGCTGGAAGTTTGTGGGAGGTTTGATACAGAAGCACTTACGCCAGAAAAATTGTACGAGGTTGTGTTTGTGGTGAAGATAAAAGAATATGCAGATGGACTGGAATCAATTACATTGAGGCTTATCATCCCAAATAAGTCGAGCAAAGATGTTACAGTAAATCTGATGAATGTAACAGCAAGAGAACAATGGATAGAAGTGCCAGTAGGTGAGTTATTCACAATCAGTGAGCTTAAGAAGAAGAAGAAGAGGGAAGAGATTGAGATTTTTCTATATGAAACCGAGAAACTGAATTGTAAACAGGGTTTAGTCATCAAAGGTATTGTTATTCGTCCCAAAGTGTCCTGAGATTTTCCGTCTGGTTGATATACAAGAATGACTTTGGAGGTGGATGATCTTGAACTTTTAATCTTGCGCCCCATGAACAGAACATCAAGTATCGACTTTTGGCGTCAAAGGTTTAACCATGTAGCAAAAGTTCAAGACCACCTATTTCCAAGGTCATTAGATGTTAATATATTTCCTAAAGAATAAGAAGCTTATGCAATTTATTTTGGAGATATAAGTTTGTTCAGTTCAAAATTCAGTGACTAATGACCTGCCACTCTATCCTTTTCCACTAACTACAAATGCTTTCTTTCGTGGCAACATTTAATTGTAATCCACAATGTGCGTCTAACTCACACATCAAACGTTGCAGTAGTATTCACCAAAGCCCTGGGCTTGACCTCCTATGTACTCTTCCTTGAAAAAAAAATCTGAAAGTCTCTCCTCAATGCTTGAATCTTTACTGAATGACTTGACTCAAGGATAATTATCTCCTTTGAGGATTTGAAGGTTTGCAGGATACTCTTTTAACTTGTAAGCCAACAGCTTGAATTCTTGTATATTATGGATAAATAAGTTAGTCTAAGTGAATCCTAATACGAACATATCTTGAGCAAATGCATGCCACAGCGTAAAGCCCAGAAACTTTTGGGATTAAGTTATACATGATAAATTCATAGTTCACCCAGCAAGTAAGTTAGACCGGGTGTCAATCACCTTGCACCCAGTTTGGGGGGCGTGACACATCATCACCTTGTAAGAATTAAATCTTGAAAACATCATTATGTTAATGATGGCTTGATATCACGGTAACTGGAATAAACAAGGATTATACCTTCATTCTATCCCAGATTATCTGCTCACTCTTTCTTTAAACCAATTCATGCTTAAAAGAAATATAGTTCTGTTGCATTGTCCAAAGATCTTTGTGCGATGAGCACATAATTATGCATTCCTGCTAGAAGCTTAATGTGAAATAATATTTAACTTAGTATGAAAAAAACATGCATTGGTTGTGATGCTATGATCTATAAGATGAGAAGGAATATGGAAATATGAATAGCAAAAGGAAGAATATATATATTTGATAAGGACTGATCTGGACATAACGAAATAAAATCACCATATTCCTCAGCAGCAGCAGCAGCTTGCCGTATGATAAGACTTCTTCTATCAGGAGGTCAGGACAAGCATCTGATTCTGAAAGTATTGACCATACAAAGTGGTAACCAACAGTGCAATTAATAAGTAAAATAAAAAGCACTATTATTAGATCAATAAACATGAATCTTATTTCTCAGATCTATGTCTTAGAATTAATGCTATAAAGCTAGATTTTTTAATTTTAACTACATATCAGAAGAAGATAAAATGGCAAGCAATACACAATTCTAGCTGCAATATGTTCAGTATACAGCCACGAATAAACAAAAACCAGCCATCTGAAAGAAGGCACACAATTGTTATATAAAAGTAACAATATTTTGAAACCTTGCAATTTCACATGTTCTATCATGTTATCCACCTTATTTTTCAAGATAATAATTCCACTTATTATGGGCAGACATGTAATTATCTTGTACTTGACCCGGTCATGCAAAAATTCTTTTACACTACCACAGTATCACTATATAGAAGTAATTGATATGAAAAGGAGCCAGCAAGTGACTAGGGGTGAAATAACCAAGTATAATCAGGAGCAGAAAGTGCAGGAGGTCTAATAAAGTATTGCAGGAGTTCGGAATGTTTTAAAGGTGCTAAGTGCAAGCTATTTTTCAGATAGGAGGGTGTTTTTCCAATGAGGTGTAGCCAAATAGCTAGAGTAATGCAATTTTCAAAGTTTAGACATTCTCCAAATCCAGCAACATTAGTGAATTTATTACCAAAAAGGAAAAATCTACAGTCATTACTTTTTTTTTTATGACATGATGTATGGACCAACTTGGGTTCAACTCGACTAATTCCATGGGGTACCTTCTACCTCCCACCAGCATAGATACTGGATATCTGCAATCTCATAACTCATAACTTATTGTAAAGGAATAACCTTTTTAAGGTCTATCTGTGCTGGCATGAATCTGTTCATAGACAGTGCAAAGTGGAAGACAGGAATAAATTCTTAAAGTAGATTCCGACTCCACTCAAGAAAAATAAAATCAAAAGATGCTCAACTAAGAGAGTTTCAAAATAAAAACTCCCTTTATTCACGCGAATGACTAATGATTAGGCCGTCCAGAATACATACACCAGCATCCACAAAGAGTTCTTCTCAGAGAAATGGGGTCAGGGTTGTCACAAGATCAGGATTTACAACAAAATCAAGAACTAAGCAATGCTTCTCCTCAAGGCCACCATAGTGATGCTGCCGTACTCAATGAAGAACCAAGAAAGATTATGCCACAGAGCATCAAGAGTACTAAGACTAACAAGACAATGGAAGCCGCTAGAGTACTCAGATTTCCACATAATTATGAAGAAATCCTAAAAGAGGCAGATTCTTCAGTTGACAGATCCTCCATGGACAAACTATATGACCAGCTATATACGGGAGTATTTCTGAACCAAAAGCGCAAGGTAAGAAAAAATTGTCTAAGGCTCAATTTGAAACGCTGGACACCCTTCTGAAAAGGAAATTTTTCCTTTACCAAAACTTCTTTATTATACTATTTTCAAAAAGATTTTTTAACCTACTCACTCACATAACAACATTCATGTTTTTCAAGAAGTCAACTTAATCTCCATTTCTGAACCTTCTTTCATATAAAAGATTAACAAGACTCCAACTTTTACCTTAAAAGTCGTGTCCAAACCAAATGAGGCACCTAAATTTGTCCGGAGTAATAGATATATTTCTAGTGTTCATCCTTGAGAAGTTCGTTATTTTTTAATGTTGATATACAGTTTCAGTGGGTGATCACACTGGGTATGTTGTTATTTGTATATACGGGTTCTACAGTCCCTACATACTATTTGGAAGCATATATCTACTTTATGAGCTTATGTCATGCTCTCTGTATATTTTGTTAAAGCTTAGAATTCTGCCTTCAACTTAACCCCAAGAGAAGCATGTCCTCTTGTGACTTGTTAGACCAATTCTGTTATGCAAGTTCAACTAGTCAATTAAGCCCAATCACTTGAAATTATAGTTTTATTCTGTAGCCTTATCTACTTCTATGGCTATACTTAATTTGCACTTCATGCAGAAATACTGGGTCGATAAGAAGTCATATGGCAACTGCTTCATGTTGTATGCAAGAGATCTCTTGATCACTTGGGCAGAAAACAACCGTTTCTGGCACTGGCCCTTGGTACAAGAGTCAAGGTAATAGAAAATGTTTCATTTGACAACTCATTCAAGTTGAACTTCAGTGTAGATCCAAAGCATCTTTTACCACACATAGGGCTGGAATAGAAAATAATAATCTCTCCGTTCCACTTCATATGGTGGTATTTGATAGGTTATGGAGTGTTTTTTTTTAATAACCGAGAAATCCGTTTGTGACCCGCCCTTTGGACCAATCACAGCCTTCTAAACTCAGTGGATGATGGGTCCGCCCTCTACCCTTCTCCACCTAAATACCGGGCTTTGCTTTGCATGGTGTGGGGCTTGAACCTGCGACCTAAGCCACAAACCCTCCACCTTTTGCCACTCGAGCTAGGCCTTGGGGGCATAGGTTATGGAGTTTTAGAAAGAAAGACTTCTGGTACATACCAAAAGTATCCTTAGAACTTGTGGTCATAAGCATTACATGATACTGTGGCGTAAGAATAAGATGAGAAGTTTAAAGTTGAAAAAAACTGAAGATAGAAAAAGTCATTCTTTTTTTTTTTTTGGGGGGGGAGGGGGGATAAACCTAAAATAGGAGTGACATCTAAAGCAGAACAGGAAAAGTAATGTGCTAAAAGAGATAAAAAAAATTAGTAAACATGTGTTAGCTGTCAGGCCACGAAATCATAATCAGCATTCAGGAGTTAAAACTAACTAAAACTTTCACATTTCCTATTAGAAGCTATTCTAAACCAACATGTACTGCATACTAAAAGGTTTTTGTAGTTGAAGACTAGCAAAGTAAAAAGGCCAGAAATGACACTTTTTATTGTTTATGCAGTGATGTCCTTCTTCCAGCAGCAGAACTACTAGATGTTTGCTGGCTAGAAATCCATGGAAGATTCAATACAACTAAGCTGTCGCCAGGGCTCATTTATGAGGTTGTCTTCATTGTCATGTTAAAGGATCCTGCTTATGGATGGGAAAATCCAGTGAATCTACGACTCATACTCCCAGATGGTAGCAGACAAGGACATACCGAGAATATGGTGGAAAAACGACGAGAAAAATGGATAGAAATTCCAGCAGGAGAGTTCATGACTTCGGCAGATCAAAAGAATGGAGAAATAGAGTTCTCTCTATATGAATATGAAGGTGGGAACTGGAAGAAGGGGCTTGTCATTAAATGTGCTGTCCTCCGTCCAAAAGCCTGAGTTCTATGGCATATGATACGAATTTAGCGTGCAACTGCAGTTTCTTTTTAGCTTTTTCACCCTAATGTTTACAATGATGAGCATTGAACTAGCAGCAAAAAGCATGAGATTGTGTTCTTTCTTTTGTATATGTAAATTAAGATGCATGTGCTATGCAGATATGTTCGATGCCTCAGAGATTTGGCGTTAAGCCCAGAACTCAATAGTATCAAGTGATAAACGTGTATAGACAAGAGTTGACCTATTTAGGAAAATCTTGCATACCATGTGTTAAACTAATAAAGAAAAGATAAAAAATATAACTTCTTCCCCACTAACAGAGATAGAAACCTATGTGTCACATTCCGCCAAATGACAACTAAATTTTGCGTCCGGATGGGGGCGGAAGCTAGAGTTGTGGAGAGGTTTGCGAAGAACTCTATAATCTTCTAGATTAATATAGAAGGCTAGAGAATTTCTTAGAATTCTGTAGAATAACTTCGATATTTTCTTGGAAAGGTTTAGAAATTCCAAGAATGTGTAGAATTTTCTAGAGAGGGAATAAAGTGTAAATAAGGAGGGACTTGCAAAGTAAGTAATATTTACACTTAGGTCCTTAGGAGCTAGTATAAATAGGGGGTGTCATTCATTTGCAAGGCATCCAAGCTTGAAACAAGCAATCCAACAAAGTGTAAGCAATCTTCCAAGCAATATAAAGTCTTCTTCCAAAATTCTCAAGTCTTTCTTTACATTCTCTTAGTGATCTTAGTTT